CAACTGAGTGATTTCTGCTATTTTGTCTTCTAAATCTCTGATCTGATCCTCTGCTTCATCTAATCTACTGGAGATTCCTTCGAGTGTGTTCTTCATTTCAGTTATTGTATTCTTTAGTTCTAACTGGTTGTTTTTTATGATTTCTGTATCCTTCTTTATGTCCTCCCTAAGTTCCTTAAACATTCTTATCATCAGTGTTCTAAATTCTGTCTCTGAAATGTTGGATACCTCTGTTTCATTTAGTTCTATTTCCTGAGGTTTCTTGTGATCTTTTACTTGGGATATGTTTCTTTGTTTCTTCATTCTGGCTGTCCCTCTGTGATTGCTTTGATGTATTACATAGGTCATCTAGAAAAAAAAAAAAGAAAAAAAAGGAAGAAAAAGAAAAGGGGCTTCTGCCCGCTTTAATCTGCAGACCACTTGCTCAGCAATAGAGAGACTCTGGGCGACTCAGCATCAGCTGTTGGGGGGAAGGACTGAATACATCATGCGCTGGCCTCCCTCTCAGGCTTGTGTCGAGCTTCCTGCAATTAGCTGCTCTGTGCTCTGGAACCATGCTCACCACCAAAAATCCTCACAGGTTGTTGCGGGCTGTCTTCTCTGCAAATAACCTTCTGTGGCCTGCAGAGTTGGGGGCCAGGCACCAGGGGCTCAGGGTGCCCCCGGCAACACAGCTCTAGGTGGGAGGGGAAGGCCCCCAAGGCACCAAAGGATGTGGCCAGTGGCCCCCACCAAGTCAGAGCAGCATGCACTCCTGCACTGGCAACCAGCCCGCACAAACTTGCCAGGAAAGTTCTGGCCGCATCACACAGGCACACAGCTCATGGCCCAACACTCTCAGGAAAACTCCCAGCCTCAGCCTGTTGCAATCAGCTGCTTGCAGATCAGGCAGAGCAGCCCGACAGCCATTTTACAGCCTGGCAACTCCGCTCGTGCAGTGCGGAGAGTGGGGACCTAAGGCAGCTCGCGCACTCTCGAGTCTCAGTGAACAGCCTGTTGGAGCTTGAGCGCGCCTACCAGGCGTTTCCCTGGCTACGCAGCACAAGCAGTGTGGAGGGTGGGGATCCAAGGCCGTATGCGCACGCACACACACGCACGCCAGCACCAATTCCACCAGACCAATGCGGTCCCAGACTTGGCCCTCTATGGGAGGGCCCAACCCAGAAAAAATGGCACTCTCCTGTACACTACTCCACTACTCGTGTGCAAGCTCCACACCAGGAGAACAATGGTCCCCAAACCTCCGGCTGCCGTCCCAAAGGCACACAGTTCAGTCCTTCCCTGCAGGCTTCTGGGCCCCACTCTCACAGCTACTCCCTCCACCAGGGACCGGGTGAGTGCTCACCAGCGAGTTAGTCTGTATGCCGGCTCCACTGGTTCTCTAGCCGCCCTCAGCCTCACCGAGTTGAGCAAAGAGAGTCCTCACTGATTTCTACTTCCAGCTATGGTAGAACTCCTCTTCCTGGCAAAGTAACTCTGGGCTGGTGAGCTCGGTTGGGGACAGAGGGTCTCTCCCACAACCGGAGAAGCCTCCCCACCACTGAGGTGCCCCTCATGGGGTTTGCCCTCTCTCGTCTCCGCCCCTTGACATGGTCTCAAGTCCTTCGTTTAGAGGTTCTGTTCATCTAGTGTTCAGGGGACTTCCGAGGTTGAATGTTGTATAAATTATTTGTAATTTTGGTGTGATCCTGGGAGGCAGTTGGCACAGCTTCTCACAAAATTGAATGTTAACTGTAATTGAAAAATTAAAAAGGGGTCAGAGGTGAAGGGGAATAAGTGGTTCAAATTTCCAGGTATAAAACAAGTCATGGGGATGTAATATACAGCATAGGAAATTAGTCAATAATATTGTGATAGTGTGGTATCATGTCAGATGGTTGCTGGACTTATCATGGTGATCACTTCTTTAGGTGTATAAATGTTGAACAACTATGGTGTACACCTGTACTTAATATAAGGCTGTATGTTTTATATATATATATATAATATATTATATATAAATTTTATATATATAATTTTTTTTAGCTGAGCCATCCTGCCACCTGTTGGCAGCTTAGCAGCAACTCAGCTCAGGCCGGGCATCGAACCGCTGTTGCAAAAACTATATTCTTTTTTTGTGACCATAATAGTAAATGTGTTCTCCAACAAAAGCAAGGGGAAAAGTCTTCTATTTATCTTTTAGCTTCAGGAACAATGTGAGGGCTTACGTTTTGTTTTGTTTGTTTGTTTGTTTTAAATTTTGAAGCCAAGGTGATGGATGGTGCTAGGTATAAAAGAACCTCAAATAACTTTGNTTTTTTTTAGCTGAGCCATCCTGCCACCTGTTGGCAGCTCAGTGGCAACTTAGCTTGGGTTTGGCATCGAACCACTGTTGCTCAGAGCTCGCATACTTGCTCAAGCTCTTAACCAACTGAGCCACTCGGCCGGCCCCTAGCTATAATTTTTTTAATAAAAATATTTGTTAAAAAAAGATTTTGATGAGGAACTGAAGAAGAGGGAATTGTCAACCATGATTTCTAGGTTTCTCATTTCCAATTGGACAGATGGTGGTTACATTCACTGAAATGCAGAATATTGTGAAAGAACTAAGTTGGCAAGCCAAGATTAGTAACTTGGTATTTTACACATTGATTCTGAAGAGTCCAAAATGTCCAGATGAAGATATGAAAGAAGCAGGTAGATACGTGATGGTGGACTCCAGAGGAGAGATGAGAGTTGGAGGTGCCTGTTGGTTTTCTGCTCCAATCACACTTTTCATTCCTCAGTTTTTTGATGCTTGTACTCTTATAAGCCCCTTGCACTTGCTCTTTCCTGGGCATGGAATTCATTTACTTGCTTTTCCTGATTAATTCCTGATCAGTTGTCATATCTCATATGAAACATCATTTTCTCCCAGAAACTGTGCCCAACCACTAGATCAGGTCACTTTCTCATGTTACTTATTTTCATAGCTCCACAAATTTTCATAGTACTTGTGAAAATGTAATTTCACATTTATTCATATCATTATTTTTTCTCGTCTTCTGACTATAATTTCCATGAGAACAGGAACTATATCTGGTTTTACTCATCATTGAGCTATACCTTGTACCTAGCATCAATTTCCACATAAATGGTATATTGCTCAGGAGATATTTAAAAGAGTAGTTGATATTAATGTTAATGTGAATTAAAAACAAAATGATAGCTATTTATACATGGTACAAACAAAGATATATCCCTAATTGAAGGCATCAGTATTTTGTGAAGGAAAGATTCTAAGATGTCACCCCCCTACCCCCCACCTCCCAGCTCCTGGTATTCACATCCTTATGTAATCCCTTCCCCTTGAACATGGGAGAGGCCTGTGACTTGCTTCTAAACAATAAACTATGGCAAAGGCTGATGAGAAGTTACTAATGTGCTTTTTTATATGACTTAAGATTGTAGTTTTCATCTTGCTAGTAGAGTCTTTTTTTTTTCTTTCTCTTGCTGGCTTTGGTGAGGCAAGCTTCCATGTGGCAAGAAACCAAGGGTGGCCTCCTACTAGCAGCCAGTAAATCACAAGACCCTCAGTCTGACAACCCAGGAAGAACTGAATCCTGCCAACAACCACATGAATTTGGAAACAGATCATTTGCCCAATCCTGGCCAACATCTTCTGAGGGGTGCTAAAGCAGAGCAGCCACTTAAGCCATGTCCATATTCCTGACTCACGGAGACAATTAGATGGTAAATATGTGTTGTTTTAAGCTGCTGAATTTGTGGTAATATTATTATGTGGCAATAGATAACTAATTTTGAGATTTGGGTACCTGATAATGGAGTGCTGTTATAATGAATACCTTAAAATGCAGGAGTGGCTTTGAAACTAAGCAGCAGTCTGAGGCTGGAAGAACTTTGAGGAGCCTGATAGAGAAAGATAAATTGCATTGAATAGACTGTGAGTAGAAATATGGGCTTTAAAAACACTTCCAGTGAGGCTTAAAGGGAAATGAGTAGCATGTTTGGAAACTGGAGGAAGAGACACCTTTGCTATATAATGGTAAAAAACTTAGCCAAAATGTCTCCTGCAATTATATGGAAAGCAGAACATGTAAGTGATGAACTTAGATATATAGTTATGGAAATTTCCAAGCAAAAGTCTTGAAAGTCCCACTGGATTTTTTCTCAATATTTTTGGTAAAAAGCAAGAGGAGAGAAGTGAGAGAGAAACTATGAAACAAAAGGAGCCAGGACTTGATGATTTTGAAAATTTTCTGTCTCTTTAGGTGAGAAAAGATGCTGAAACTGAGAAGTGGCTTCCAAGGACTGACTGGAAAAGTGGCATAGAGGAAACACTGAGAGTGTGATTACTCAACCTTTTCTTTCTTTTGTTTTTTAATTGGGGAATTGGGAGAGAGGAACAGTGTTGGGGAATTGGGGAGGGGGACCAGCCAAGTTGTTCTTCAATCTTAGTTGTGAAGGGCTCCAGTTGCCATATGGGTTTCTAAGCTCAAGGTATTGTGTTCAGTTAGTGGCGGGTGGGCATGGCCACCATCCCATGCGGGAGTCGAACCAGCATCCTTGTTAAGAGCGCGTGCTCTATCCACTGAGCCATCCGGGTGGCAGCTCAGCTCAAGGTGCCGATTTCAGTCTTAGTTGCGGGCGGGCATAGCCCACCATCAAACAGGCAGTCTTATTGTTAGAAGCACGTGCTCTCACCAGCTGAGCCATCCTGCCACCTGTTGGCAGCTCAGCGGCAGCTCAGCTTGGGCGCAGCATCACTGGCCTATGTAGGAATTGAACCGGCGGCCCTATTGGTCAGAGCGTGCACTCTTAAGCTAACTCTTAACCAATTGAGCCACTTGGCTGGCCATACACAACCTTTTGTTAAAGCCTCAGAAGGATCAAAGGATCAGAATATTCAGTCACATAAGAGACTTGAGAGAGATTAAAGGTGTTCCTCAAGGAAGTTTAAGGGCATTGTTCCTCAGCAAAAGCAGCAGGGGTGCAAGGTAGAAAAATTCTTACCTAAAAGAGTTTTTTGGATGGGGCTTTTGTCCAATGGAATGAACCCCAGTGAAATTCACAAAGGCTCAGGAACTTTTTGAAAATATTATGTTACCACAAACACTGCTGTTTTGAACTGAAAGGGACAGAGAAAGTAGAAAATAAAAAGAAGCTATTGGATTTCCAAAATTCTACTGGCTGGAGGCAGGTTGATAAAACTGTTCAGCTGCAATCTTGTACTACCTTTCATGAAAAAGGAAGGAAGATTCAGATGTGGAACCAAGAGTCCAAAGCGTAGAGTCAAGACCCATGGAGAGTTATTCCTAGACCTTGAACCTTAATCATGGAACTTCCAATATTTGCTGGTTCTATTTCAGAATTGCTCTGACCACTTATGTCTTTGTACCTCCCAGTTTCCCCCTTAGAATGGGAATGTCTACAGCTGTTTTCCTTTGCCTGTCACACCACTGTACGTTGGGTGTCTAAGAAGAAGAAAACTTGTCTCTTTAGTTACACAGTTCCCTCAAATTGAAAGGAATTGTGCCCCAGGATATATACTTAACAAAACTACAGGTATACTTTGGAGATATTGCAGGTTTCGTTCAATACCACTGCAATAAAGCTAGGATAGCAACAAAGGAAGTCATAATTTTTTTGCTGCTGATGCAGGGTGTTCCCTTCAATTTGTAAAAAACACAACATCGGGCCCGCCGAGTGGCTCAGTTGGTTAAGAGCTCGCTCAAGAGTTTGAGCTCTGAGCAACAGCGGTTCGATTCCCGGCCCAAGCTGAGCAGCCGCTGAGCTGCCAACAGGTGGCAGGATGGCTCAGCTTAAACAAACAAACAAACAAACAAACAAACAAACAAACAAAAAACACAACATCTGTGAAGCTCAATAAAACAAGGCATGCTTGTACATCTCAGGAGCTTCATGTACACCTGGACCTGATTTAGATGATGAGATTCTGGACTTTGAGCATATGCTATATTGAAATGAAACTATTGAGAGCCTTAGGAAAGGATGAATGTGATTTGCATATGGAACTGATGTTAATCATTGGGACCAGAAGGCAGACTGTGGTAGGCATTTTCAAGATGGTCCCAGTGATCCCTGCCTTCTGGTATTTATGGCCTTGTGTAGTCCCATCCATTTCCCTGAGTATCTTGCTTCTAAGAGCCTTTAGACCCTCAGCATTAATGGCATGCCACTTTTGTGACCAGGTTACAGAGGTTTCTGACTTCCATCTATCTAGAAGACTTTCTCTCTTGATGGATTTGATGAAGCAAGTTGCCATGTTGGAGAGGCACTTGTGGTAAGAAATTGAGGGCAGCCACTGGCCAACAGTTAGCTGAGAACTGCAGCCCTCAATCCAACAATCTAAAAGAAATGGAATCCTGCCAACAGCCATGTGAGTGAGTTTGGAAGCAAATCCTTCCTCAGTTGAGCCTTCAGTTGAGACCCCAGCCCTGTCTCATGTCTTGATTGCAGCCTTGTGAGAGACCTTAGAGGACCTGGTTAAACTGTGCCTAGACTCCTGATTCACAGAAACTGAGATGATAGATATAATATTAATAGGTGTATTAGTTCTATTGCTATAGAACAAATTGCCAAAGTTGGAAAAGGGCAAAATTCGGTGTTTGCAAGGCTGTGGGAAACAGACATTCTTATATAGTGTTGGTGAGAGTAAATTGGCACACAACTTTCTGAAGGCAATTTGGCAATATAGATTTTTTTTTTTAATTAAAGGCTCAAGAGGTGAATACTTATTGACTTAGCAAAGTCCATTGCTAGGAAATTATCCAAAACAAATAATTGGACAAATACACAAAAGTGAAATCACATAGCCATTACATCAAAACATTTATTATCAAGAAATTGGAAGCAACCTAAAGAGGTGATTGCTTAAATACACTGTGATGTATACAAGAATAGGAACATAATGCATCACTAAAAAGTACATATTTATGAATATCGATTATTCACTGACATGGAAAGCCACACTGGTAAGTGAAAAAAGTCAGGTTATGAAATAACACTTAGCTTATTAAAATTTTAGAATAGTATATGTGTATACTTGGATAGAAAAACATCTGGAAAGATATTTCCCAATATCTTTACACTAGTTTATAATAGCCACAAATAGGAACTAGGATTTTGGGGTGTTTTTTACTTTTTTCTATATACTCCTTTGAATTGTTTGAATATTTTATATGAAAATATATTATCTTTTTAATTATAATAAAATAAGGTGGTTTTTTTCCCTTTAATGAAACTTTATCTACATAGTGACTGTGCAGCGTATCATATAAAAACCCTCAAAAATCGCAGAAACAGGTTGGATTGCCTGTATGCCCAGGGAAGCTGTTGTGGATTGGTGACTAATGATGCAAATGGGATATAAACTCTGAATTATACAAAATCATTCATTGCCTGTAGCAGGTAAAGCTGAAACAGTGGGAACTACATTGTATGTTACATGTTTGGGCTTCACACATGAGCTGAGTCACAGAAGGAATTTGTTCAGAGAGGCCAACTTCTGTCTTCTGAAATATTCTTTTCTTCTTCCTAAAATACGTTTTTATTCATCTCTTAAAAATTGGAAAGGAGCTTATTATTGACCCAGAGAAAAATTTCTCCCAAGAGTATTTTTGGGGTAATATATATTAGTATAATTTAAATTAAAAATGCCTCCCTGGGAAATGTTCCCAAAGAGTTGTAATATTTATTGGAGTGTTGTGTTTCATTGAGGACCACTTTGCTGAATAATGTTGTCATTAAATTTTAAAATATGCCAATCCATGTCATTATTAATATAACCAATGGCTTTTAGGTTCCAGTTAAATTTTAAGGTGTATTTCTGAATCTGTGAAACCTTTATTACTAAGAGGAAAACTTCTTTAGAAAGTGATGAGTCCTGCTGGAAGACAGAAAAAGAATATCACACCTTAAAACTCATTTGAGACCTAATATCTGTAAAAATGAGTAGCTATTCTGGTAGCTGAGCAGAAAAGAAAGAAACAGGTGTCTTTGCTGGGAAAGACCAAAGTATTTATGCAAATTAGTAACCTCAGATACTCAAAAGCTGACAATAGTAGTGATAGTGTAATTTAAAAAATAATTAACTTTGGCAATAAGTTTATTACTCCAATGAGACATTGCTACATCTAATGTATCCTACATTTGATGACTTACTTAAACTCAGCTCTCTCTCTCTCTCTCTCTCTCTCTCTCTCTCTCTCTCTCTCTCTCTCTCTCTTTCTCTCTCTCTGTCTCTTGCAAGTGACTTGCAAGTATGAGGTATGGTTACTATTTGGAGAAATTCTTTTTGTCTGTGCTGTGACCCTTAATCCTGATGAGGCATTTTATGAATATACATGAGAACTTTGATTACTTCAGTATAAACCTATTATATTTACCAAAAAAGGACATTTTGGATAAATAACATCATTTTGTGATAAATATGTTAGGACATTATTATGTTGGAAAATAAAAATAACAACAAAAAAACACTATAATATGGAATACCTAATTACTTTAAAATAATGTTTCATAGCTGTATTTCGTTTTGACCAAGATAATTATCAGCTTCCTACTCTTGTCCTATGAGAATCAAATGAATCATCAAATGAATCATCAAATGTGTGGAAGTGTGGGGCCAGTGCAGATTTACCAAGCAGGCAATTACTTTATGATTCCTGTACCTAAGAGGTTATTTTGTCCACTGTGTGCACTTTGTCTGCAATTAGTGTAAGAATATCCTATCAATGCTTCAGTTATAGCCTCCTCTGCCAAATAGATTTCAATCACAGGTAGGAAGATCTAAAAAGGAGATTAACAAACTTTGCCTACAGTTATGCTTTAAGAAATAATGAAGTTATTTATTAAAACAGTAGGGTATACTAGTGATGAGGAGTAACAGGAGCAATGGTTTGAAGTAGAAAAGAAGTGGTATGTCTTTGGAGACTTTTACTTCACTGGCACCAAGGGCTGGTATTAGAGAATAGTGCCTATCTATCTGGTGAGAAAAAGAGTAACAGGATGTCGTAGTCAGTGTAGGCTGACTACAGACTGCATAGCTTAAACAGCAGAAATTTATTTTCCCACAGTTGTGGTGACTGGAAGTCCAAGATCAAGGTGCTGGCAGGGTTGGTTTCTCCTGAGGACACTCTCCTTGTCTTGTAGGTGGCCACCTTCTCTCTGTGTCGTATAAAATGGCTTTTCGTTTGTGCATGTGTGAAGAGAGGGAGAGGTCTCTGGTGTCTCTCCCACTTCTTATAAGAACACTAGTCCTATCATATTAGGACCCACCCTTATTACCTCATTTAACTTCAGTTACCTCCTTAAAGGTCGTATCTC